AAAAAAAAAAAAAAACAACCTTCATTCTCTCTGCTCCAAAACTCTCCTTCATCCCACCACCAACTCTTCTTTTCCCTTGTGTCAACCTCATGTTTTCTTCACCTTTATATAAAGGTTTTTCTTTATTTTTTTTTCCAGTTTCATTCTGAAGTAATCCCTACTCTGCCTTTATCTTTGCTTATAATCAAAAATTCCGCTGACGCTTTCGGTTATCCGCCTGCTTTGCCTCCACGCGGCGCTCACACCACTGTGGAAAGTGCTGCCGTGCGTACTCCTCCTCTGCGTCTGTGAGTGGGAGTAAATTTGGGCACACCGCCCGCAGCTCCCGACCAAAGTCTCCATCGGCCAAACTGAAGGAGGAGCGCAGTTCTCTTGCAACGGCTTCATCGCGGCAAATCACAAACGCACGTCGTTGTTTACATCCCGCTGCTGCCGCATCTCCGGATGATGATGAGGATGATGTTTCAGGCTCTTCCACTCTCAGTAATGTGATGCCTTTCTTTAGGACTGGGTTCGTAATACTGAGATTGCCCAATTTCATCTTCATTGTCTGCCACGTTGTCCCGGGTGGAACCCCTTCCACTTTCAGTGTCACGCCTTTACGCAGAAAACGCCTCACGCTGTTATCCTGCAGTTCCGCTAATGCCTTCTGCGCCTTCACGACATTATGCTGCAACTGCGATTCCTCCTTCACACGATTCTTCTCCTCCATTTTGGCAAGATACTCCTCCATCAACACGGCGTGTACACGTGCCGGTAAAAAGTGTTGCGCCAAGGCTGAAGGTGCTTTACCAAAAGAAATATTCGCTTTTGTGCAATTCGTCGCCTCCTCAACGGTGGCAAAACGGACCACAAATGAGGCATGCGGCTGCGTATCCCCGTGAGGTCGCATCATCACAGTGGCAGACTCCACTACACCATAGGCATTAAAAAAGGCAGTCACCTCATCCGGTTTGGAGGCACGATGGAGGGGCCAAACTACAACACTTCGAAGAGCGGGATCGTCTTTTGGATCGAGGAAACGACGACGACGTAAACACCACGAACCATCTTCTCCTTTTACAGCTTCTACAATGGAACTTGATCCCGCAGCTTCACATAGAGAACTGATATTTTTTTCATCTACTGTACAGTTTGCGAAACGAAGAAAACTAGCACAGGTTATAGTAGGTGGTGTGGTAAGGTTGGTAGTATCTTTCGGTGATACCTTTTCTCGAAAGAATGCATTGGCGTGCTCAAAGAGATACGCATCACCGAAATACTTATCTAGCAATTCACTGGCATGATCCTTCTTCGGTTGAGTCATCCTATCCTCCTCTCTTCAGAAATATACACATATATACATATAACGAGGGAAGCAATAGAGAAAAAAGAAAAAGAAAAAAGAAAATAACAAAAATAATGAAGATCCAGCAAATAACAACGGTGAAAGTTCCCATCAACTAAAAAAAAAAATTCATTCTAACACTACAGTTACTAAAAAAAAAAAAGCGCAAGATTTCTTTTTTCTTTTTCGTTTATTAATGCAGATTCGTTGGGTATCAACTCTCTCCTTCTTTGAGTGAGAAACGTACACAATAGAAACACCCTTTAAAAGGGTTCATTGAAATCATCATCACTATCACGGCTATAACGAGAATTGCGACGATGTTTATGATGGTGGTGTTGTTGTTGTTCTCCTTCGTGCCGATCTCGATGATGGTGGTGGTGGTGGTTATGATTATGATTATGGTAGGAGTCTGACGTTCGTCGTCTCCCTCCGTCTCCAGCGTAACTGTCAACGTAATTCCTACCACTCCTACTATCCCTTTCCGATCCCCAATCATAATTGCGGCGACCGCTGGTCCGGCCACCGTGGTGGTAGGAATCTTCATCATCATCCCATCGGGAGCGTTTTTCTCCACGTCTTGAGCCCCAATTTCCTTCTCTCTCACTATAAGACATTTTATAGTTATTTTCTGTCTGTCTTGAATTAGGTCGTCTTTCACCATAGGTGTGAGAATTTGATGCGCAGTAACCACCAGTGTTACCATCCCTTCCATAGTTGCCATTTTCCCTTGCATATGTATAACGGTTATCACTACGAGGGAATTCACCTCTCTCATTATATCCATACGTTTGTCGATCATAGCTAGCAGAAGTATTCCCAGGAGTAGAACGTGATGGAAAGTTAAGAGAACCATCATAACCTCCTTTTTGTATTGAGCCATTTTCATTTGCCAATATTCGAGTTACCCACCTATCAGGGACTCGATCTTTTCGTTGACGACAATCAAAAGCGTTATGACCCATTCCTCCACAAAAACAACATGAAGAACTCTTCTCTACACTACGAGGAGAACAATCAAAATGTCCTACTGAGTGACAAGAGACACATTGCACAAGCTTCATCTCATCTGAAAAAGGAAGAGTTGAAGATAATATCAAAAAAGGTGAAGGATGAGGTTCTTGACAAATGTGGTGGTAATTACGTGTAGTATGGCATGTTTTGCAGAGCGCATTGGGGCAATCGGGTTTTTCATGACCCTCCATTCCACAGTTCCAACAAACTTTTTTCGTCCCCGTTCCATCTGTGTTTCGTTGATTAGTTAAATCATAATAACGGTTTGGACCACGAGAAGTACCACTCCTTGGGGCTTGTTGTTGTTGTTGTTGTTGTTGTTGTTGTTGAGGGACAGCATCTACATCAGGTGCTGGTACACTATCACCACCAGCCGCATCTCCTGCTTGTGTGGATGTCTCTGTTGTTATCGAGGGTTGCACGATTGTGCCAGTTCGACTATTAGAAGTAGTCCCGTTCTGTTGTTGATTGGGGTGAGAGGCCCTTTCCGCTGCTCGCGCACACTCCATTCCTTCTCTACAGCGGTAAGTATATCCAATGGTAACACGATCCGCATTACGCACGGGCTCACAGCTGCAACATTTTGCCAATCGACGCGAACGGTGAGCAGAACAGATAACGAAATCTTCACCCTTAGCCGGTACTGCAGGAGCTATGTCCTCCCAATCGGCTCTCATTTAGAGAGATTAATTCTTTTTTTCTTCTTCTTTATTCTGGGGATAACAAAATAGGAATAATAAGAGTAAAGAAAGAGAAAAGTTGAAGTCTCTTTACACTTTCTCTTTTCCTACTTTCTTCAGGCACTGCCTTTCTGTCTTGTAGGCCCCCCACGTACCTCTCTGTATGTGGGTGTGTCTATATATGTATATAGAGAAAAAAAAAAAGAGAGAGAGAGAGAGAGAGAAAAAAAAAAAAAAAGAAAGAAAACCCCCAATTTGCTACCAACATCATCACCCCCTTTTCATAAATAAATAATCTTACTCTGTTCTCACAAACCATAAATCCACTAAGAGAAGCATTCTTTTTTCTTTTTTTTTCCGTTTTCCATTTTCCACTCTGTTTGTAACGCAATGCATTTTTTTTTTTTTTTTCCTTATATAATATCATTTCTCCCCATCTCCTTTCGCTTTCATTCCCCCCTATCCTGCCCAACTTGTTTTCTTTTCTTTCTTCCACTTTTTCCTGTTTAAAAGAAAAAAAAAAAAAGCAAAAACAAACAAAAAAAAGAGAAATTAATGTCGTTCTCACATACGAAACATCCCAAACTTTGTTTCTTGCTGTGGAGCCGAAAGAGTCGCACGTAGCGACTGGACCACCACTTCACGGGTGTCCTCGGGTGCTATTACACCATCATCCCACAATCGGGCGGTACTGTAATAACATGATCCCTCCCGCTCATACTTTGCTCTCACCTCAGCTTTGAAATCCTCCACCGCTTCAGGTTTTAGCTTAGAGTTTGTCAAGGCAAGCACTGTCGCTGCCTGATTTCCTCCCATAACACTAATCTTGGCATTAGGCCACATAAATAAAAAGCGTGGATCAAAAGCACGACCACACATACCGTAATTTCCCGCCCCATAACTTCCACCAATAATAACAGTTATTTTAGGTACTTTTGTGGTAGAAACTGCGGTTACGAGTTTAGCTCCATTCTTTGCTATACCACCTTCTTCATACTTTTTCCCAACCATAAAACCCGTTATATTCTGCAAGAACAATAAAGGGATTTGACGATAAGAGCACAATTCAACAAAATGTGCACCTTTAAGAGCCGATTCAGAGTACAAAATTCCATTATTAGCAATTATACCAACAAGCATACCTTCAAAACGTGCGAATCCACATACTAAAGTATCACCATATTGCGACTTAAATTCATCAAATTCACTTCCATCAACAAGACGGGCAATGACTGCACGTATGTCAAAACCTTTAACAACTTCAGTAGTCATATCAGGTATAAATCCTCCAATTTCCTTTGGATCATACAATGGAAGTTTATACTTCGTACTTTCTAAATTTTTATTAGGTATACTTTGATTGAGGTTTGCTACGATACGACGTGTTAGATATAATGCATGAAGATCATCTGTCGCGAAATAATCGGTAACTCCACTTGATCGGCAATGTACAGTAGCGCCACCTAAATCTTCCGCGGTTACTTTTTCTCCTGTTGCAGCTAATACCAATGGTGGTCCTCCAAGAAAAATAGTTCCATTTCCACTAACTATAACACTTTCATCTGACATTGCCGGTACATAAGCACCTCCAGCAGTACAACTTCCCATAACTACTGCAATTTGTGGAATTCCTTTAGCAGACATATTAGCTTGATTAAAAAAGATACGACCAAAATGTTGTTCATCTGGAAAAACCTCATCTTGTCGACCTAAATTAGCTCCACCACTATCCACAAGATAAATACAAGGTAAATGATTTTCTAATGCAATCTTTTGAGCACGAAGATGTTTTTTCACGCTTATTGGATAATATGTCCCACCTTTTACAGTAGCATCATTCGCCACTATCATTACACGTCTCCCATGTATAATCCCAATACCTGCAATTATACCTCCAGAGTAACATGTTTCACCAGGGTATAAATCCCACCCGGCGAGTTGTGAAAGCTCTAAAAAGGGTGACATGGGATCAATAAGTTTTTCAATACGATCTCGTGGAAGCAATTTACCACGACTTACATGACGAGCTCTAGCTTTTTTATCTTCCTCTGAGCTTCCTTCTCTAACAATAGAAACACGTTCACGCAGTTCTTTAGTAAGTACTTGCATACGTTTTAAATTCTCTTTAAAAAGAGGATCTGTGGTATCAGCAGGAAAACGTAAAATGTTTGGACAATGTGAACTTGGTGCAGATTCATACTGAGCAGGATGCGCCGCATAAAGTCCTGATAAATCCTTTAATTTTTCTTTTTGTACTTGACTTTTATGATTCTCATTTGCTGAGATACCAGTATTCTCATTGTTATGCGTCTGTGATGATATACCCAACCGACTGCAGGAATGTGAAGAAATATCACAAGAAAAAATATTCGCACAATACAAGGAGCGAAGCCCCAGAAGCGTTAACGAGTTTGTGTATCGACGCATGTCTTCTTGAGAGCAATTCCGTCACTGCCTCTTAATGTATTGGTGATTCTTTTCTGTGAGGTGGAGAAGGTGCCTGATATCTTCCTTTGTTCCTCCTTGAGAGGAATTGCAAAAAAAAAAAAAAAGAAAAGAAAAGAAAAGAAAAAAAGAATAATGGTCTGCAGAATTACAAAAAGTATGCGATAAAAATGCAAAACTCATTCTTGTCACTTGACAAGATCTTATCTAGAAAATACATACATCACGTAGGTACACACAGGCAAAGAAAAATAAAAAGAAATTACTACAAGTCTCTACACCTTCTTCTCTGATGCTGAAGCGGCACCCAATCCCATTTACACACCTCACCTCTTCTCATCTCACAAATGAAACTATCTTCGTCTCCATTAAAAGAAAAAGCAACATTGGAAGAGAAGTAAAAATATCAAAGAAATTCTTTTTAATTCTTTTTCTTAGAATGTGTCTTTTCTTCTTCTTTTCTTTGTTAAAACCAAGAAAAGAACAGTACTAATTCCAGATGCTCTAGATAGTTTCATTTGTTCGAGTATGTGTGTTTTTATTTATTATCTTTTTTATTTTTTTTTTTGGAGGGGAGCGGCAGAACCATCTGAGGAACTAGTGTCAGTCCTTGGATGGCTCAGATAAATATCCCCGCAGAAAAATATTGTAAAATCATTAAAAACAATCGCAAAAAGAGCGAAAGGAGCAAAAACAAAAAAAAAAACATACACCCACAAGTTAAGAAAGAAATAAAATAGGTTAAAATAAAATAAAAAACGAAGAGTATTGGGGAACGTGGAAAGAGAGATTTGCCTCCCTTCTTTCTAGTAATTATTCCTCTTAATATTCAATGAATTCGTCCTTTCCTTTTTCTTCACTACCCTAAAACAAAAAGAAAACCTTCCACCGCATCTCCCCTCTCGTTTTTTTACTTTCTATTTTTTTTTTGTACGTATGTTTGTTTGTTTGTTTGTTTTATTTTTATTTGGCAAGTCTTCCTTTTCATTCGCCTAGCCGCTGAACATGTAATACAGTAGAAGTAGTATCCCCACAAGAATTCCCACAATGTATTGAATGGGAATCATGTCTCCTCCCGCCTTGTACTTTGTTAGAGGAACATCATCCTTTAATGCCTTTCGCTGCACCACTGGAGGTGGGGATTCCTTATCAAGATCTCCAATGATAAACTCTTTCGAACGGGCTAACGCAGAAGAGGAGTGTCCAATGCTTTCGAAGGAATTCGTGATATCATATCCGCCGAGATCGTTAATGGGATCCAGTCCACCGGGATGTTCATTTAAGAACTTCGTCACATCCAGCACCCGATCATACAGTACCACCCAACAATCCGTATCCTTATTGTGTTTTCGAATCTCCTCCCATTTATATTTGGGCACCTGTCGTGTGGTCATTTTTTATTTTATCTTTTTTTTTTTTTTTCAGTAAAATGATATGGAATGTAGTTATGACGTTACACTTGTTCTTGAGAAAAGAAATAAGAAGATGTTAAGGAAAAATAAGAATAAGATGAAGTTTACATAAGATATGCCATCAAGTCGAAAACATCACCAATGACATTCATCAGCATAATAATTCTCACCATTTCATAATGTATTAAAAAAAAATAAAATAAAAAATTACCTTTCATGTCCTTGTTATTTTGTTTCGTTAAAAATATTTCTCAACATTAAAAAATTACCTTTCATGTCCTTGTTTTTTTATTTCGTTAAATTTATTCCTCTTTTCTCTTTGTTTTCTACGTTTTGCCTTATATGTACTCCCCCAACTGATGGTCTAACCATCAGAGCAAAGGGGAGAAACAGGGAAAATAATCTTCAACGTTCATATTTACATTAATAGAATGTAGTGCCATGTATCTCTTATTAACATAGCACATCTCGTTTTCTGTTTTTTTGTCGTTTCTTGTTAGCATGCTCTTTAAGTTATCATGCGTTTCTTTTTTTTCCTTATTGGTATGATTAGTACCAAAATCCCCACTGAAGAATGGGTCCGAATAGAGACAAAAAAAAAAAAGTCACTTCAGAATATTGGGAATAAAAACGCCAACGCCGTTCATGGCGCAAGCGTTTAAAAACGATAAGAAAAAACAATAAATAATAACGGCCGAAGCAAAGGAAAAAGATAATTAAAATAAGATAAATATATATTATATGAAATTTTGACAAGTTCTCAAGTCGCCCATTAACAGGACACACATAAGACTTGTTAGTATTCATAATCAATTTGCCTATTCCCCCTTTTTGACTTAGTTTTTACACGGGGAAAAAAATAAAAAATTTACCTTGATTGCATTTATTTTAATTTTTCGTCTTGAATAAATATTGTGTGCATTTCCGCAAACTTATACGTTATTTTTCTTTTTCTTAAGGTGTTCTTCATTGACAAAAGACACCATGCTTTACCCAAATTATAACAATGAAAATACACTATCCTCTACATACATAAATCTCGCAAGAAAAAAGAAAATAAATAACCAGACCCCCTCAAAGTAATTTATTCAAGATTACTTTGAAAAAAAAAGTATTCCTTTCCAGGAATAATGAATTACACTCACTTCTATCTTCCAAAAGAAAGACTAAGAAGAATCAAGGGGAAAATAAACATATACCGATGTATGCAAAAACCCTTAAAGCTTAAGCATAACAGCCAGTTGAAGAAGAGAACCAGTAGAAACACCAAAAAGAAGACAAACACCAGTAGCCTGGCCAGCCAACGCTCGTTCTCCATTCGTGTTAATACCTTCCGATTCCGGTGCATAAGTAATAGAAATTGTCGCAAAATATCCGTTCGTGATGCCTGCCAATGCCGTGAGTACATACGCAGCAGCATGTGTGGGGATGTGGTGAGTTGCACAGAGAATCATCAAGGGATACAGGAGGAGTCGCAACAGTGTACCAATGACAACCCACCGACGAGGAGGCCATAAACACTTAATTAAGCACATTAATCGACCAGTGAGATCAGCTGCGTTAAAGATGGCCATAACAATAGTTCCATACCACGCATCATCATAGTCCACCGCAAGCATCACACCAGGGAAGAGAAGATATGAGGTAAAGTATGTGAAGAAGCATGAGAATTGCATAGCATAGATCTTCTTAATCACAGGCCAAAGCTTTACAGACTGAATCAATTCTGCTGTGGTGAGTTCTTCAACTTCTTCTTCCTTGGTCTGCACCACCCCAGCAGCGGAGTGTTCCTCATTCGTCACACCATTTCCAACATAATCCTCAATTTCATCTTCATTTGCATCCGGGGTCACAGTTTTCTTAGACTTACGGTAAATATTGGCACAGAATCCACGTTTTGAACGAAATTCAGCAACATACTTCTTAGCAAAAGAATTCTTTGATAGAATAAAGTACATGATCACTGTTAGAACGATCACTGCAATAGCAATGCTGAAATAAATATATGACTGAATCTTTACAGACTCATATTCCTCTGACATGGATGCCTTAATAATAATCTCCAGAATGGATGTGAATAGACCAGAAATAGCAGCACCAATAACAAACCCAGAAGTCATAATAGGGGGACAAGGTCCAAATAATGCGTAACCCGTGTTTTCATAAAATGCACGTCCCACTCCACCCACAAAGGCCATCATCATAAGAGCCACAATCGCTCCGGTTTCTGAAACATTGGGAAATACTGGTACAAGCAAAATAACGAGTAACTCGATAAGCATCAGCGCACATGAAGCTGATATGCGAAATCCAAGTGAGAAACGGCAGCAAAAAGTGGTCAGATTCACCGGCTCAAATATTGTTTGTGTAACCATTGTCACAACAACGTAGAATGTAAGGACGGTTTGCCAGAATTTTTCATGTTTTGGTTCGGCATCTTCATCTCCCAGAACGTATTTGTAGTAATTTAACATATAACTTGGGGCTGATGTTACGGCGCTTACACCCATCACCATGGTAACACCCATTACGAGACTGGTAATGAAGGTCCAGGCCTCTCCGAAGCAGCTGAACATCGGCATTTTGAAGACTTTGTTTATGGAAGAGATTCAATTAAAAAATAATTCTTCCTTTAGTATCCCTTTTCTTTTATTTATACCCTGTATGAGTTATGTAATACAAAATGTTACCTTATCCCGGCGTTTTCTTTGGCAAACAATAATATACACACAACAAACCAAGATAAAGGACGCGACGAAGAAACCAAATAGAAAAGAAAAGAAAAGAAAAGAAAAAAAAAAAACAAATAACAAAACTTACGTAAAACAAATAAAATATAAAAAAAAATTAAAACAAAGACAGCAGAAACACAAGAAGAAAAAACCACAAAACAGCATGACTGACAACAAGGACACGCCCAACGGCGTCAATCCCCCAGTCAATACCAAAAACCACCCACTCTGGCACACCTCAAGCAAAAAAAAGTAAAAAAAAAAAACAAACAAAAGGACCACACGTCTACAGACAATAGACGGCATCATCATCATCATCCTTCGTTGGGGTGGAGGGGACAGACTTGTTCGGCTGTCCGGCCTCTTCGGGCACCACCGCTTTTTCCCCTCGGCTGAGAAGCCGTTCGCCCCGCCACCAGGACTCCACATCGCCAATATCACCGCTTTCATCCTTAACAGCCGTCGGGGTCTTCAGTGCCGCGGCTTTTCGCGTCCCCCGTGGTTGTTTTTCCTTTGCCTTCTTTGTCTCTGACACCTCTCGTTTTGCTGCTTTCGTTTTTTTTGTTTTTCCTGCTGTTTTTGTTGTTGCTTTTGCCGTTGTTGCCGTCGTTGTTGACGTGGGTGTGGGTGTTCTTTCCACTTCTTGGTCTTCCTCTGTACGCGGCTTCTTTAGTTTACTTGCGGCCTCCGTCAACTGTGAAGAGTTCTCCCCATCCTCGCCATCACGCGGACGACGACGATTATTTGCAGGGGATGCTGTGAATAGTTGTTGTCGCTCACACCGCACCACTGCGAGACTATCACTTAAGCTTGGTGCCTCCCCTGTAGATGTCATGGGCACCAGTGAAAGAATATCCTCCGACTCCAGGGCAAGTCCTTGGGGACGCGGTGAGGAGGCATTCATACCAGCCGCATGCACACTACCATCGTAACGAACTCGAAGTCGGTTCAGTTGATCAAATCCTTCCACTAACAAATCATCCAAAAGACTACCTGCATGTACGGTATCAATGTTTACACCACGCACAAGCACATCATCATGAAGACCAACATCCACAAAGACGCCAAATGTTGTCACACTCTGCACAACGCCTGTTAATTTATCACCAGGTTTCAGATCCGATGCTTTTCGAGGGGCACGACGGAAAAGCCCAGCATGAGGTAATTCTGAACGTGGATCCAGAGCTGGAGACGACAACTCTTTAGCCACTAACTGCAGTGTAGCTTTACCACAACCAATACGAGAAGCCACTTCCCCAATTTCTACTTCTGTCATTTGAAGTAAGATATTTCCAACTTCTTTTTTCTCTTTTCCCTTATAAATTTCCATTAGTTTCTCAACTGTACCATAGGATTCTGGATGAATATTAGAATTATCAAGAGGGTTAGAAGAATTAGGAAAACGAAAAAATCCAGCAATTTGTTGATAAACGCCTTCTGTCATTCCTGGAACTCGACGTAGATCTTCACGACTCTTTAATTTTTTTGCATGTCGCGCTAAAACAATTTGATCCACCATACGTTTGGTTACACCAGGAATCTTTTCCATCACATAACGATTCGTAATCATCGCATTTACACCTACACAAGTCACACAAGATTCCACCACACGATTTAATGCACGTAATAATTCCGTTTCACTTATATCATGTTGATACATTCCTATCCCCATAGAACGTACAGGAATCTTAACAAGTTCACTAAGAGGATCAATAACACGACGTCCAATACTTACCGCCCCACGGTACATTGGATCAAGAGTTGGAAATTCCTCTTTTGCAACATCTGATACAGAGTACACACTCGCACCTGCTTCACTCACAATAGCATATTCAACATTTAATTTTCTCTCTTCAATAGTGTCAGCAACAATATCTGCAACTTTTCTTGAAGCCGTTCCATTACCAATGACAATTTTATTAAGGTTTAACTTTTCAATACAACTACTTATATAATCCTTCATTTTAGGTTCATCCATTACAGTACATTTAAAACGAGTAAGAACTACACCATTTTCATCCAATGCAACACATTTTACACCATTAGTAATACCAGGATCCATCGTTAATAATCTCGCATCACGCATAGGACATTGTAAAAGAATGTGACGAAGACTATGAGCAAAAACTGCTATTGCCTCTTTTTCTGCACTTTTTTTTAAATCACGACGAATTGTTGTATGTGTAGATTTTAAAATATGTTCATATGCCGCTTCAAGACATTGATTTAAAAAACGAGAAACTGTTGGCATCCCTTGACGTTGTGTTCCATTAAATTTTTGACGTGCCCATGCAAAAAAAACCCCTTGAGTACGACCATGTGGAATCATTTTTACTGTCAAAACTCCTTTAGCTTCACCGCGTTGTAATGCCAAAACATTATGAGCACTAATACGTTGTACGGGCCATCGTCTATTCTCATACGCATGAAACTGTTTTTTAAGTGTATCAAAGGCATCTGAACTAATTTCTTTTGCCGCTTTCTTTCTTGGATTTTCTATAAGTGTACTGTTAATGATACCACTTTGACGACACTCGGAAAGCATGAGTTGTCGTACTTCATCACAGCGTTGTACCTCTTCTACTATAATAGCTTGAAAGAGTTTGGCACCGTCGGGTACGCAACGTAATCTTTCAGATAAATCTAAAATTGGTTCAGTTGTGAAAAGTAATTTATTTGCAAGAGGTTCTAAACCAGCTTCTCGACCTCTGTGAGATAAACTCGTCTTTTTCTCTTTAAAAGGTTCCCAGGCATCTTCTAACTGGTTTAAATGCACCAACCTCTCAAAAGCTTGTTGAAGTTTATCTGTGAGGAGACCACGTTCTTTTAAACTTTTAAGCATAAAGGTGCGTCGTCGATGAACCTCGTGAAGTTCTTCAGACATGTCAAGGAGTTGTCGAAGTACGGTTTCATCAAGATTACCAGTTTCATCTCGCCTATATCGTGCAAGGAAAGGAACAGTGGATCCTTTTTTACTCTGTTCCACTACAAAGCGAGCGGTGGTGGTGGAAATATTCAGTCGAGCTGCAATTGTACGATATACCTGCTCCTGACTACTGATGCCCGTTTTCTCTCCGGATACCGCAGCGACAGAAGTGTGCATTCCCAAATGAGAAAAAGAGAATATTGTCAATTGTGTTACTACGGCGTTTTTGAAGATACGCAGCATTGAGAGGAGAGAGGGGATAAGAAAAAATGGAAAAAAGAAGAAGAAAAAGTGGAACGCAGAGCAGTGAGCGACTCGATAATAATTGTTCTTTGTTATTTAGATTATATAGTATTATATTGTTTTCCTCTCGTTATAACTGCTGTGAATGCGCTCACTCCCCCTCCCCCCTTTTTCCCCCCTCTCTCCGTTTTTTTTTTTTTTTTTTTTTTTTTTTTTTTTTTTTGTGATTGTGAATATGTGTATAGGTTTCACACTTTCTTTTCTTTTTTGATTTTGCAGTAGCGAGCGTTTCTTTTATTTTATTTTTTTTCTTTATTTCTTAGAGGGGGGGGTTGAGTATCCAACGAGCACTAACCTCAATATTTCTTCACTCTCACAAGTAAAGCTCACTAGAGAAAGAAAACAAGGAGAAACACAGAGAATTACACATGCATACCTTATTACTTCTGTTTATATATATATATATATAAACTACTCAACCGTACAGTACGGCCCATGCACCTCTGCAGAGAGGAAGAAAAAAAAAACAAATTTATAAATAATCTGACAGAAAACAGCTGACAGAAAACAAGATATATAACGAGAATAATCAACAAAACTCGTGTTCTAACTCAGTCGACAGTTAAAACAAAAAAATCAAAATCAAAACAAATAAATACAAGAGAATTAAAAACAAAAAAAGGTCAAAAACGACCAGGGAAAATAAACACAAGGCAAAAAAAAGAACATAATCAACAATAAAAGTCAACGTGAAAAAGAATTAAGAATGCAACCTTTATTTGTTTATATATTTCACCTTTGGAACCACAAAGGCATGCCGAAAATATGATACTTATCAACTAGAAAAATTAAAAAAAAAAAAAAATAAATGAATAGTCCACAATTTTACTTTATCCAGAAAAAAAAAATAAACATAGAAAAAGAAGAATTTAATTGTTTTTCCCATTCTCTACTTACTATGCCACACACACATAAAGAAAAACACCAGAAAATGAATACTTATATCTCCAATCAAAATCAAGTACTAACGAAAATAGATGCGATGAAAATATCCCCAATCCGCCTTCCCCCACCACTACGGTAAGAAGAGGGATAAAATTGGATGAGCATTCAAAAACTACCATTTTTCTTTTACCAATATCTTTAGAACTCATAATATCAGCAAATAATAAAAATAATATTTAAAAAAAAGAAAAAAAGAAAAAACGAAACGAAAATAACACCCTCTCTTCTTTACTACGTTTCTGGAAGATGAGAGCATTCCGCTCGCAATTTACCAAGGAATAGGGGAAAGATCGACAAAAAAAAAAAAAACACAAGAAGGAGCGTGAATTACAACTTGAGCATGATAGGAAGTTGAAGAAGAGAACCCATGGCAATTCCCAACAATAGGCACGCACCTGAGGCCTGACCAGCCAACGCTCGTTCTCCATTCGTGTTAATACCTTCCGTCTCTGGTGTGTACGTCATTGACATTGTACCAATAAACCCACCAGTCATTCCAATCAAGAATGCAATAACGTATGCAGCGGCATGTGTGGGGATGTGGTGAGTTGCACAGAGAATCATCAAGGGAAAGAGAACGAGTCGCAGTACTGAACCAATGATAACCCACCGACGAGGAGGCCATAAACACTTAATTAAGCACATTAATCGACCAATGAGATCAGCTCCGTTAAAGACAGCCATAACAATAGTTCCATACCACGCATCATCATAGTCCACCGCAAGCATCACACCAGGGAAGAGAAGATATGAGATAAAGTATGTGAAGAAGCATGAGAACTGCAAACCATAGATCTTCTTAATCACAGGCCAAAGCTTTACAGACTGAATCAATTCTGCTGTGGTGAGTTCTTCTTCTTCTTCTTCCTTATTCCTCATTGTCCCAGGAGTAGAGCATTCCTCTACAATGACACCATCTCCACCAGAGACCGCAAGCTCATCGCCAGTTGGCTCAGAAACAGCAATTCTTTTAGACTTACGGTAAATATTGGCACAGAATCCACGTTTTGAACGAAATTCAGCAACATACTTCTTAGCATAAGAATTCGTTGTTGATAGAAGAATTAATAAGGCCAGCGTCACAACAATCACTCCAATACCAAGACTGAAATAAATATACGATTGAATCTTTACAGATTCAAAACTGTCTGACATGGATGCCTTAATAATAATCTGTAATACAGATGTGAGGGAACCAGAAACGGAAACACCCGTCATCACAGCTGTCATCATTACAGTCGGACAAGGTCCAAATAATGCGTAACCCGTGTTTTCATAAAATGCACGTCCAACTCCACCCACAAAGGCCATAATCATAAGAGCCACAATCGCTCCGTTCTCTGAAACAGTGGAAGATACTGGCAAAACCAATATAACGAGTAACTCGATAAGCATCAGTAAACTAGCCGCAGACAATCGAAACATCACTGAGAAACGGCAGCAAAAAGTGGTTAGATTTAAAGGACTGAAAATGGTTTGTGTAACCATTGTCACAACTTGATAGAATGTAAGGACGGTTTGCCAAAACTTTTCATTATTGGGTACGGCATCTTCACGTCCAACAACGTATTTGTAGTAATCTAGCATATAACTGGGAGCTGAATTAAGTGCATTTACCCCAACTACCATAGTAATACCAACTGCCAAACTCGTGACAAAGGTCAAGGCTGCCCCTAAAGAGGTGAACATCTCTACTTATTTATTATTTCGCTTCCCTTTAAACTTTAATCCTGGGATTGCCCCAAAACCTTTGAAAAGAAGAAACCGAATGGAAAAAAGAAAAAAAGGGTATTATCTCTTTTTTTTTTCTTTTACAGAGTTGTGAATCAATCCAAAGAAGAGGTACCAAATGGGTTTCTTTCTTACTCTTGTCACAGGAGAAACATTTTTCTGTTTTCTCTTTCGATCACCTTTTCGTCCATGTAAAACAAAAAAAAAAAAAAAACCATCAATGCGCAAAGGCACCAAAAATCAAACTAACTTTTTTAAAAAAATAATAATAATATCGGTTCAATGCTCAACCACCCATGAGCGACTATTGCGCCAATCTTTCCGAGCCCCTCTAGAGAAAGAGGCTCATCTTATCGTTGTACTACAATTACAGAGCTTCAGAGACTCACTCCAATAACAACAAAAAATACAAAAAAAAATAAAATAAAAAAACCTCACAGTTTTCACCCACTCACCAGGTCCTCAACGAGAGGACTCTGAGACCTCAAGAGAGATCCTGTCAATATTTAATTATATGCTACGATGATGAGTCATTGGAAAAAACAAAAAAAAATAATAATAATAATGCATCGCGCTAATTTAATATCTTGATCTAGTCGATGTCGATGTACTTCATGTCGTGAAAACCCTTCTTGACCTTTAACGAAATAAAGAGTCAAACCAAGAGGAACGAAGAAAAAAAAAAATACATATACATATGTATATAACTTTCACATTACCAATTTTCCGAAACAGGATATATAAAGAAGAAAAATATATATATATATAAACGAAGGGAATAAGTAAGAAAGAGAGAGAAATAAAAGGGGGACATTATTTATATAAAATATGACTCATTCATTGTACGAAAAGAAAAAGCAATACCCAAACTTTAAAAATGAGCACAAGTTCAAAAAAAAAGGAAAAAAACAAAAACAAAAAAAATGCAAGCAAATAGTTATCTCTGTTAATGGAATATACTCTTCTCAACGTCTTGTTGCCCCAGTCGGGATAGATGAATATCTTGGGGGTTGAACTCTTCGCCAGGACGTAATCGCCACTGCAATTACACACCCCATCACAAGCAATAAAGCTGGCACGGCCACATTCTGCATATTCTCTGGAAGAGTCGCTTGAGAAAATTGAGTCGACCAATCATCTCCCACAGTGATATGCACCGTGATGGGATCAGAGAAGGTGACCCCGCCATCATCCAAGAGCAAAACAAAGTTATCTTGAACAGGATACGTCCAACCCGTACCGCCCTCAGAGCGGTAGTGAAATGATAGAGTGGTGTTCCCATCACTATCCCCAACGGTTGGCGGTACATACACAACAGAACCCCGTCGAACGAGTGTTGGTGCTGGGGGTGTAAAACGGGAATCCACAAAGTGTAATGTCCCCCACTGTGTAGATTCATGAAGTCGGAATGAAAAACCTTCTCTTTCCTTATCAAGAACAGATACATTAATGACAGTACGTTTTTGCACTTTTGTAAATATAGTTCCTCCCCCAGTAATTCGATCTTTTTGCCAAGCCAAAGGAACTTCACTTTGACGACGAACAATAGCCATGTAACTTCTGGATTGATTAAACATTATAGTTCCATTACTTTCAAGAGAAAAGACTCGAACACGTAAAAAAAATGTTGGATTTCTGGCTTCTGTTAATACAAAAACAGTATGTTCTCGTTGAAGCCAATATCCTTTAAATTCTCCTCGTGTTTCAGGATCCATAGCTTCACCAACTAGAGTTTTATTTCCATCTTTTTCGTATCGATAAAGAAATATAGTTTGATTTGGAGTATGTCGACTTCCAAGATCTATATCCTCAATCATTACAGTTTCTTCTTCTGCAACATCAGCAAATACAACTTTTCTCATTCGTCTACCAAAGAGTGGGGATGTATTACGTCCATCCAGTTCAACAGTGTAGGTTAAGTTTTTTTCCTCTAGTTGTGCTTTACGATAGTACAACTGTAATAGTTTTGGTTGTGAGTATACATTGTCTTCCTCCAAAAATCGATACTCCATTAAGACAAAGGAAACCCCTGGATGTGTAGGAGGGGCTTTATAAAGAAAAAAAAACCGGGTATTATTATTATTATTATTATTATTATTATTATTATTATTATTATTATTATTATTATTAAATAGATCTTCTGATCCTTCACTATTCCATAGACTTGAACGATGAATGATTCGTCCAGCTGTAAGCGTATCATTTACAATACGACTACAATCATACAAGAAACAAAATGAACCCTTCATATTAAGTGTACTTCCAACCTCAAGTGTAGCCCCAAGTACAGTAGAAGAAAGAATTGTATGAATAGTTCCAAATTCTGGTACTCTTAATATTTCAATAGCACGAGGTGGGTGACCAGAAGTATTAGATGCATTCCAAGTTAAAGCTACTAAAGTATAGCTATCAAGACGCACCAAATCACGATGAATACCAAGTGGATTAGGACCATCACTCATTATATCATGTGATAAAACAACAAAAGTAATACTTCCAAAACAAGAATGTTCTCCTACTCGAACTTGATATTTGTAAGTTTCATTCCCTTCCATACTTTCATGTCCTGGACGAACAGCGTATTTTAATGCCTGACGAGCATCACTGAAATAATCACCTGGAAGTAAAGGCATCGTTACAACACCATCTTTAGCAGATTCCCGTTGAAACCAAAGATCACCAATAGGATTTTGTGGAACCTCAATAAGGACAACAGTTGCAGCTTCTGTTCCTGCTGGTAAAGTGTAATTCAATAAAACATTACGCACAGGACGATCATGAAAAACAGGCATTACAACTGTATCATTACATATTGGAGAAGCAGACATTAAAATTTTAAAACTTACAATTCCTACATCAGACGTTGTATAACGATCACTGACCATATAGCTTAATTCATCTGAACTACGATCAATTCCTCTTTTTATAACGGGTAATAGTGCTGAAGAATTGATTTGGTATCTAATGTGTACTGTAGCTGGGTTATTATTTGTTGAAATAATAATAGGAAGAGCAGAAGCTTTTAACTCTGAAATATCTGAACGTGTCTCAACTCCCTCATTACCAAAAACTCGAAAAACTCTACCGTAACGAGGAAGATTTACAATAGTAACATTTATAGTTCCTGGTACAGGATTACGTGAATGTCCACCAATAGATACAATTACAGATGGTGCAACAGCTCTAGCATCTGTTAAGACTCGTACCATTTTGCTGTAAACAACAGGAGAATGTGGACTGACACGTTGAAGTATAATACGTCCAGGAAGAGATGTAATATCATTCATATGGGTTGCTGTATATACAAAACCACAATTTTCACCCACGTCAAGATCAAAGGGTTGAATTTCAACACGCCATTTTTTCTCTGTATCATTAAGAACAGTTGGTACATCATCAATAATATGATTGCTGTTTTCCATTTTTAATGTACATTTGTTTCGAGGAGGTATTTCCATAATAGTCATCCATTTTACTTCTTCTTTAATATCTGCTTTTTTTACTTCAATTCTCTTTCCATCTGAACTTAAATGAGATCGTTTATTTTTTTCTCGTACTGGAATTTCAAGTAGACGTTTCGTGTTAGCTTCAATAATAGATAATTTCGCTCCAGGTGTAATAAGCCTCACATTCTCTACAATCATTTGTATTGGATATGTTTTTAATCCAGTCCCATTTGAAGTACAATATTGAATGGAAAACACATCCAAAGCCTTCAATACCCCATCAGGGGGAAACGTTGATGATGAGCGATACACAATGGGCAATAAAGAATTATACCGTTCATTTAATGCAGCTTCTTTTTCACCAATGCGAACAGTCCCATTAGTTGGGAGGGTTGGAAACATCACATATGGGGCGTATTGAACGCGGAAGATAAGTTCTTTATCTTCTTCACGTGTAGTTGTAAATGAGAACTGCGATGGGGGTGGAGGGGGTGGGGGTGGAGCTCGGCCGCCCAGCACCAACTGCGGCAGGGCAGAAAGGGCAAAGCCCAGCAGTATAAGAAAACGCAGAGGTGGAAATATCATATATATATATATATATATATATATATATAGAGAGAGAGAGAGAGAGAGAGAGATAGAGATAGAGATAGGGAGCTCTTGTTTTGTTCTTTTTAATGTAACGCAGACTCTTTTCCAATGATGATAAAAACAAAAAGAAAAAAGAAAAGAAAAAAAGGAAAAGAAAATGTAGTGAGTTCATTACAGCTCAACTGTCATGGTAATATAATAAAGAAATAAGTTTCTACTTCAAGTACTAAAAATAAAATTAAATAATGAATCTTCCCCTTATCTTTTTTTTTTTCTTTTCTTTAAGCCCAGCGGCTGTTGTTATCATGTCACACAATTACACAATCACACACACACATACCCCCTTTGATGGATTTACTATAAATTTTCCATCGCCATCCCCAACACATCCAACTGAATGATATCAGTTCTTCCATTTAACAGCATACCCAAATGGGGTGTTGTCCTTCCCAAATCACCGTGTACAAACTCCTTCACATAAGTACCAGCTTGTGTCTCTAAATCCATTATAAACCAATGAGGATTCAGAGGTGTGAGTTGAATAGAATGAATCATTCGAGGTCGAGTTTGCATAGATCGTCTGTGTAATACACGGATAGGTGTGCGTTGGGCAATACTGAGATCTTGCACTTTATTCGTCTCTTGAAAATGTTTATCATTATTAGGATCTAAAATAGCCCGACTACACCATACAATACAACGATACCGTTTCACTTTACTTTGTGAATGACGTGCGAGTCGTACAGTAATATCCGCATCTGTGAGTCGTAATTCAGATATCTCTACACTTCCTCCTTCACTTTTATTTACGGCTTCTGTGAAGTCGGCTAAATCTTGTGAGGTCACTTGTTGTCTACTTGGTGAAATGATCTCAAGTACAAAAGGTCTTCCAGTCCCAAGCATACGCACATCTACATCTTCACGGCCAGCACTGTGAAATTTATAGCGTCCGTATCCAAAAACGTGTTGAGCTGCCATTTTATGTGGGATGAGTTTATCTTCATTTAGAGACTTTGCATGTGCATCTGTTTTTTCATATTTCGATCGTTTCTCAGCTTGTAATCCACTTTGATTCATTTCACTTTTCCATCCCACTGATGTAACACCTTCAGGAAAGAAAAAACCAAGTATAGGATTGGCAATAATCTCTTGTAAAGAAAATGTACCAATACGTTTACCATCGGTAAACCATGGTGACTGAGAGAGATCTCGTCTCATTTTACAATAATTACCAATAAGCATTATATTTGAGTGTTGTAAAGTACAGGATAATATGGCAGTTCCCTGTATATTAAAACGTTTATTTTGTGTTATCTCTGTATCTTTCCCATCTGATCGCCACCATCCAGTCATTTTTAGATAAGGTTCTACATAATCATAAATAACACTATAGGTCATTACCCCATCTGAACGATTACTACAGTACTGTATAGGTACTTGATCCCCTCCTGCAAGATTCTTTACTCGATGATGTTCTGCGCTTACATCCACAATAACACCTTCATTATCTGGACTATAACTAAATGCCTGAATTGTGCGAGGTTGAGGAATGGTAGTATCTTTTTCAGCATAACGTTTAATTTCACGTAGATAGGTTTGATACCCTACAGGTGTACTACTTCTCTCACTCAGTTCTTGGTGAGAAAACATAGTATACTGTAGAACACGGGCTCTAAAGTCACTCATAAAAAATTCCTTAAAATTACAGTGTTCTTCTGGAATAACAGATGAAGGCCGCGGTCGCTCATTCTCTCGTCCAGCAACACCGTAAAATATAGTAGCCATAGATAACCAAAGAAAAGAAATACTCCGGTGTACATTTACATTTACTGAAATACGCTCTGAATCCATATAAGGACTAGTACGAACCGCCGCAGCCACAGATGGAGCATATACATAATCCAAAAACTGATAAAGCCCTAAGCATGCACAACAGAGAGATTGTATTTGATGACATCCAATAGCACCTCCCTCAGCATCAATGATTGTATCCAAAAATCGTGAACTACTCTCATATGTCTCATAAATAATAGAAAACTGTGGATGATACATCTCATCCACTAGTGGCTCCTTCTCATTCCCACACGCCCTCTCAGCAGCGTTGCAAAGAACGGAACGTAACTGCGTTACTGGAAGAGGTGGGGGAACTTGATGTAAGATAGACATCCGCAATGCACAAGCATAGCAAAGAGCATCCTTTTGCTGTGGGGATTGCGACATCTATTGTCACCCAGCCTCAACACCTTTTTTTTTTTTTTTAATATGGAAAAGCTAAGAAATACTTATTTAAATAATTAATAACACACCACATAACCCCGCAAACAAAAACACATATATACCCAAATACCCATATCAGAAAAACAAAATAATAATAATAATAATAATAATAATAATAATAATAATAATAAAAATAATAAAAATTAATAATTAATAATAATTAATAATAAATAATAATTAATAATAAATAATAACTACAAGACACAATCAAAATTCCTCGTGTTACGTGAAATAAAGATGTATCGTGTATTATTACTAAAAAAAAAGAAATTTAAATTACGCTCGTAGTGTTAGTTTATTACCATAAGGATAGGAAAAAAAAAAAAATCCATATCGCAGAAATCCCCACAGTTTGGGTATCTACAAAATAGATTTGTTGTCCCTCCTAAATTAAAGGAAAAAAAAAGGATTCCCTAAATATATATTAAAAAGAAAATTAATTACCTTAAACGTACCCAAGTATCTTTAAGAGCATTCCTACTTATTTTTTCTTTGTTCTCTTTCGAAAATAAAACTCATATCATCTATCGTTTTAAAGGGCACCTTATATATTCATATATACATATCTCTTTATCATCAGTTTACATATACGTTCGTGTACACATATATATGCATATATAAATATATGCTCGTGTATTTCTATGACATTCAAAGATGTGCTCTAAGAAGTACAAATACGAGTATATGTTTATCTTAAACCTTCTCGGAAAAAAAAAAAAAAAAGAAATCCGTATTGAAAGAGTTAGGGATCAATTTACTTTTCTTCTTCGTCGTCGTCTTCTGCTGTTACCTGATGAAGTGGCTCTGTCACGATTCCTCCATGAAACTCTTCCTTGTGAATAAAAGTGCAGTAAATTCCTGATATCACAAAAGATCCCACCAAAACGGAAACATTAACAATGATTGTTTGCGTATCTTCCATCATTGCCACCACAGTCAACGCCGTAAATAATAATCCTGGAATAATAAAGATTAAAAGTTGATATCCCTCCAGTGGGACTCTGTAAGGCCGATCCAAGTGTGGATAGCGATATCGAATGATCACAAAAGACATGTAAAGCATTACAATTCGCACACCATATAAGACTTGATCAACTTTAACAAGAGGTCCAAAATCCAATACAATTCCAAAGATTCCTGTAATCAACGCATTGATAGTTAATGTCCAGTGATATGTACCAAAGCGTTTATTACGCTGATATAGTATTCGACCTATTGGTTCTGGGAAAACTCCAGTGAGTGCGGTACCTGCAATAACTTGAGTGGTTGTACATAAAGCGGACATGGTAAGACCAAAAGCAGAAAAAGCACTTGCAACAACAACAAGAACTTGAAGAGGGATTCCTCCAACTGTCAGGGCAACTTCTGCCCAGTATCCGGTTGTCCATTCAGAAATATCAGGTAATCCCTTTCTCGTACTTGCTCCTGTTAAAATAGGTGGAATATAAGTAAGAAATGCCAATCCCATAAGTGGTATAAGTGCACGCATAATAGTTTTATGAGGTGTTTTGGTTTCTTCTGTCACAGTAGCAACTTGTTCGAGACCGCATAGATTCCAAGATGCTGTAGCAATGAAAGTTGGCCAATCAATTTCATCAGGAATAAAACTTATAGCTGGCCAATTTAAATAGAAACCAGTCTGAAATAAATGCAGAACAAATAACAGAGAAACTGGGACAACTGTAGCAACAGAAACAGCAACACTTACCCATCCAACTGTTTTAACTCCAATAATATTTAAAATATATGTAAAAAGAAGCATAGCAGTTCGAAGCATTTTGTTCTGCCAAGTTGTACACTCAACGGAAGTACAAACGTATTCAGAGACAAGCACTGGAAATAGTGCATTATCAACAAAAGTGAGCAAAAGTGTTTGAAGTACACTTGCGAAATAAATCACACGAGAAAAGGAAACTTGAGTCCAAATTAACACAGAAGCATTAGAAGGAATGGCTGCAGCCAGTTCCGTAACCACAACAGCAGTCGGTGCTGCCATAAATATTGGAATGAAAACGATGGAGGCGAGTGCCAATAATGGACCACCACCCATGACACTTTCTTCAATGGCATAGGCCCCAGAAATAGTATAGGTATACATTAATCCCAATAATAATAATGGTGAAAGGGATTTTTCTGGGGCTTCCTTGTCAAAATTATCTGAGACAGCTGCATTATCATCGCCTGTATATTCACCAGAAATAGCAGCAGGACTTCCGTCTGTACGACGTCTGGTGATACCATTCTGTCGTTGAAACTGTTGACATCGAGGATGTTCGAAGTATTGACGTAGTTGCGCAGTGTTGGTAGAATGAGTGTGTGCCATTAATTTTCCTTTATATCACAATTAAAAAAAAAGGATAAAATATACAACAAAAAGAAAGAAAGAAAAAAAGAAAGAAAAAAAGAGCATTGTTTTTTTTTTTGCTTTGTTTCTTCTCGTAAACTTTGAGAATGAAGTGTATTCAATGAAAACTCAGAGGAGAGTTTCAAGCACAGTGAAAAGGAAAAAAAAAATTTTTAATATATATAAACCATACAAAAAAAAGAAGGCAAAAAAGAGAAAAAAAAAAAAAAATGGATCGCAAAACGTCAGATCTCCATTTAAGAATTATCCTGTTGGTAAGAAAAAAAAGGATACTGTAAAAGTGCTTCAACAGTAGGCCGCTCATTTACATTCTTAGCAAGACAGGCTTTTACCATATCCTTTAATTCATCAGAGTAAAAATGAGCAGTTTCTCCCTCAAACTCATCTAATGTCGGACCAAAAGCATTTGATGTATCTTCACGGTAGCCGTGTAAAATCATTGATGGCACTTGTAACTCTAATTGCCTCCACGGTAATCTTCCTGTTGACAGTTGATATGTCATGATACCTATTGACCACACATCATTAGATGGGAGATAAGGTATTCCTTTACAACTTTCTGGAGACATATATATTGCAGTACCACAGAAATTTCCATCACTCATAGTTTTGTTCTCTTTATATGAAAGGGATGCTTCTGGATCTGTTAGGGTTTGATTAGATAAGGCGGGAAATACAGCGTCAAAGTCTGCCAATTTGTAGTGAACACGGTTACTTTCTTTATCCATTACAAGAAGTATGTTTTGTGGTTTTACATCATTATGAACGGCAACTATGGTATTATGTAAGTAACATAATCCACACAAAACATCTGAAAGAATATTTCGAATAATATCTTCACTTAATTTTTCATTTTTCTTTAAAAACCCATCCAAAGTTCCACCAGTAGCCTTTTCAAGAGCAATATATATTTTTACATATTTCTCTTCATTTTCTAATTCGGGCATCCCTGCATAATAGGAACTAATGAAAGAAGGATGAACGATACTTTCTTGAAAAGAAAGAACACGAATCCATCGATCAATCTCATTAAGGTGATAGAGTTTAAGAGGAATTACTTTCACTGCCACATCACGTTTTTCTTCACTCTGGGTTACAAAACAAATAGAACCATGGTATACCTTCGAATATGCACCTATTCCCAAGAGTTCATCCGTATGTGAAATTATAACAGAACCATTTTGACAAACAAGCTCAAAAGAAGATTGACACATCTCATTAACTTCTAACTCAGATCCACTCGAACTACCGACCTTCAGCAAAGAAAAAAAAGATCCATTAACGTCATCATCATTACAACTGGTATTCTCATCTGCCAAAGCAGCAGTACTAGGAATGGGAAAACCTTCTGAAACCATTTGCAGCTCATTTTTTCTATCTTCTTGTTTTTTAGAAAAATCACATGACTCTTCATGATGTTTTATGTTAGAATCCTTTTTTTCAAGCAACTGGCTTCTCAATAAACGGAGACGAGTTATAACCTCTTCAAATGCAAGTTTTCTCCGATCTGTATCCATTTAAAAACCATCGGTCTTCTACTGGTAATAGAAAAAAAGAAAAAAAAAGAATTCATGGAAAGGAAATCATTATCATAATCATTATTTTCCCGTTCAACCAACCAAGTTAAGGAGAGATACAAAACAAAAAAAAAAAAAAAATGAGTAACCAAAACAGAAGGAATATTCTTATATATATATATATATATATATATATATATATTATTTCTGCGCTTTAGAGGGTCAAGACAATAAGCAAACCTCTACTATTCTTATTACACTTGTCAATTAAGCTACTTTTATTGTACACTTCTGAGCACCAGAGGAATCATTTTGATGCAATACTGATAATAATACTAATAATACTAAGAGAGAAAATAGAATTCGACACTACGCCACTATACATAACAACCCATAAACCCAAAAAAACCTCGCCCCATATCCCTAGAAATCAACCAATATATATATATATGGTTCACCTCTTACCTCTACTAGTACTATTTTCATACGACTCCCTAAATCAATTTCTATATTTATATTTATACTTTTTTTTTTTGCTTTATTCTTCTTTTCTTCCCTCATCTATTCGACCCATCGACGTGCACCTGACATATTCGGTACTTTCCATCCATCTTGGTATTGCCATAAGTGATGTGGTGTTCCCCCCGCATTGTTAAAGAAAAAGTGCTTCGGTGTTCCTGGTGGTACTTCCTTCATTAAAGGAAGAGGGAATCCAAAAAAGAGATCATACATTACACATCCAATAAAGAGAAAGACAGAGCTTCGGTAAAAAAGCCACTCAAAAGGGATCTGAAATGGCCATCCAAGGGCATGCTTGGTTACATAAAATCCACCAGCTGTGGGAGCGGTAGATATCTGTTTGGGATGCTCACGATATGGGAAAGTACGCTTAGGAACACCGTAAGGGTATAAAGCCTTAACATCAAATCCTCCTAGTCTTATTCTAGAACGTCCTAACATTTTTTTTTTTTTTTTGGAATAGTGTTTGATTCTAAACTATTTTCCTCCAAATAAATAAAAATAAATAAATAAAAACAAAACAGAAAACACAAAGCAGAAAAAAGAAAAAAAGCCAATACTCTTTTAGAAGGAGAGAAGGTACATTTCTACATGATGCTAATGGAAAAAAAAAAAACAATTTTTTTTTTCATTACAAAAACAATAATGCCATAAAGAAGGAAGTAAAAGACATGAAATCATATTATGTTTTCTATTTACATAGCTGCTCTCATTGATAATAATAATAATGATGATGATGATGTTACATTGTACTTGTGTTTTTCGGTCAATAAGAGATGTCATCTCCTTTTTCTTTATTTGTTTCCTGCCAGAAACCGTTCACCTCTTGCTTTTTTAAGTATATCTTTTTTGAGATTTAATACTGTTTCTATGGCTGCCACATTAGGAATAGGTTCTGCCTCTCCGTCAGTAACGAGTTGTGGTCTGGCATTAATAATCTCTGTAACTAGTTTAAACTCCTCTTCAGCTTTATTGAGATCTTTTCTAAGAAGATAACAAGAACCCAAGTTCAATGGTAAACATGGATCCCATTTCATTTTGTTCGCATCGTCTATCATTAACGCTTGGAGATCTTTAATAGCATTCTCAAGTAATTCTTCTTCCTTCTGTCTACGGGCAGCTGATTCCATTTCTAAGCGTACTTCTTCTTCTACTTCTTTCATAGATTTAGGAATAGATGATGTATTAATACCAGAACTATTACCTAGTTCAGTATTTTTAACTTGATTTTTCTTCCTTTCCTCTTCATCCCAAGCATTTTCTACCATACGTAAAGCGAGGCAACCACGTCGTAACTGAGCATATTGATAATCTTCTTTTACTTTTAATGCAGAAGAATAGGCATTCAGTGCTTCTTCAGGCATTCCCTGATCTTCATAAGCCTTTCCTAGGTTGGCCCAAGCATAGTAGTTTGCTTCATTAAGTCTAATAGCTGTTTGAAAATCACTAACACAATGATTAAAATCAGCAGAAAGTAATCGTAAACCTGGAACTCGTGTACTTAAGGTACACAATCCCCTAAGATTATATGCGTGATCATTTTCTGGTTCAATTTGAATAATAGTAGTATAATCTTCAAAAGCAGAAGACCATTTTTGTAAGGCTGAGTAACTAGCTGCTCGTCCTTCTAGTGCCCTAGTATCAGAAGCATCTCGTTCTAAACATTGAGTATAGCGTTCAATAGCTTTTTCATGTTCTTCTTGTCCACGAAGACATTCTCCCATAAGAAAATAGGCCAAAGCATTTCCATCATAAATTTCAATTGCAGCTTCAAGAGCTGTCATTGCTTTTGCATAATTTGGCTGCGCGTTGCGACCAGGTGGTTCAAGAAAAGCCTGTCCCTCTTCACATTTTTCTTGAGAAGCTCTTATTTTTGCCTCTAAGAGTTTTTTTTCTTTCCTTTCAAGGGCTTTACGAGACTTTTTCGATTGTGATCGCGGTGGCATAACTTTGTGCCTAATCTTACAAAGTTAAAAAAGAAAATAAGAAGGAATACAAAGATAACGAACAAAATAAATAAAATAAAAACAATATATATATATATATATATATATATATTCATAACATATTACAATTTAGTAAGGTACATTAAAATTTGGTATGCCGTTATTTATAATGTGATAAATCCTTAAAAAAAAAAAAAAGCAATTGATACCGAAATAAAAGATAATAATAATAATAATAATAATAATAAAGCTTCACTTATAATCAATGTGCAGTAAAAATACATCAGAAATGGGTAGCTGAAAATCATTTTTTTTTTTTTCGTTTTAATCTTTTTTTTCTTTTAACTGAAAGAAACAAAAAAATTCTTTTTTTTTTTTTACAAGAAACTCGCTTCTGTCACCAATAATAATTATTAATCTATTTCATTTTAAATAATTCATTCCTCATTTTTACCATTGGTCTTACATGGTGCCCGTGGCAAGGGTTCACCTTCTTTTCGAAAGGCAAAAGTTCTCATAGCAGAGAGATAATCTTTTTCACTCTTTGAAAAAACTTTCGTAAAGTTAGGATCATTTTCTAAAAGTTCCCTAAAAGTTAAACAAACTTCAGGAATAACATCAAATCCATATTCTCTCGCAACTGCTACAAAATAATCAATTGTAATAACATTTATTTTTTTCTTAGGTCCACCTTGCATTGAAAATAAGAAATGATGACCAACTCGAGGTAAAAATTCTTCTTCCCATTCAGCTGTAAATAAGTCATTGGAATTTTCATTCCTTCCATATAATATACTGGCATCAAGAAAGCAACCAAAAAAAACTCCACGAGGAACTAAAGCATTAGCTATACTTCCTATTACATGTCGTGCTTTACTTTCTGAATCAAAAGCGTGATGAAGACCAGCAAATGCGGTAATTGAATGAAATTGACTAGGATGAATTTTTGTAATATGTTGAGTCCATAAATCTGTAGAAAATGCATCAGCACAAATAACATCATATGATGAATTTTCTGGTAATTCATCACGTAAAGAAGTTATTAATCTTGTAGTAGATTCTACAACACTAGTTTTTAAATCAAAACCAACATAACGGGTAGTTTTATTTTTAATCCATTTTCTTGTAACAGATCCTCCACAACAAATATCAAGAACATCATTGGTAGGTGCTTTAGAATTTATTGAATCAATAAGCAATGCTACACAACGAGTTAAAACTTGTGTAGCAAAAGAAGCATTCGGTGGAGGAGGTACTAAATATCCAATTTCAGCATTTGTATTAGTTGTAGAAAAAATATCCCAACAAATATCACAATAAAAACGTTTACTTTCACGATCTATTCTTCCAATAGTACAAGAACGTCCACAGTAAACACATTCTCCATGACCTGTTTCTTCCCAACAATTTTGACACCAATAAACTTGATATCTAGGATTAATTTTACCAATATCACTAACATTCTGACAACGTCCACATTTATAAGTAGAAGCTTTAAGTAACCATAACATTTCTTCATGAGTTAATCCTGGAGTATGAACCAATTTATCAATATTTTCATAAGTTTCACAACTTTTTCCATTATTTTTACCATAATCTTTAAGTAATTCCCACCAATGTGCACCATCACTACTTCTTTGTAAGATACACTCAATAATAGATTCAGTTTGTAAAAGATAATAAGAATCAACTAAATAATCCACATATTCTTCATTATATGAAATTGTTTTATCATTATTATCTTTTACATAAAGCCATGCACGTTTAACTTCTCCATTTGATTCTTCAATATTATCAACTTTTCCAGCTAAAAATTTAGCAGTTATAGATTCTGGAGGAATCCAACTATAAGAAGAAAGAATTCCATTTTCTCCTTTAGAAACTTGAGGAATAAATACTAAACCCAAAGTTGGATATTCTAAAGGAGGATTTTTTAATACTTGATCTGCTTGATCAAAAGATAGATATAAACTTCGAACAATAATAATATGATCCATATTTGCATGAGGTCTATTATTTTGATCATCCATTATTGTTTTTTCTACATTTTGCCATCGTTCAGTAAAACTTTTTTCACTCATATCTGTTCCTTCAAAAAATAATACATCCTCTAATAAAATAATATATTCTAAGTATCCTCTAAAAGAAGAAGATATTGTAGCTTTAAATATACTATTTCTTACAGGACATACAACTCCACCGAAACATTTAGGTAGTGCAAATATACTTCTACTACGTATATCTACACCAAATATATCTCCTTCATCATCTGTTAATAATAAAATACTTTCACCTACAGCACGATTTCTAACAAAATATTTTTCTTTAGCAAAATTATTTGCTACTTCTGCAAATACCATTCGTGTTAGAATTGTTGGTTCAGAATATTCCAATAAAATTTTTTCCATTTTATTTCGAACATATTCATATTGATGAATTTTTATTGGTCGTTTTATATGATTTGGAATTCCACCTATACAAATATTAGAAGTATCCAAAAAATAATTTTTTTCCAATATAGATTGAAGAGTAGTATTTAAATAGCATGCATTACCTTCTTCTTCTTCTTTTTTTTCACTACCCAATTTTGTATTTTTAGGAAGAGTTTCATCACTGAAACAAATACCTAAAACGTTGGTTGCTGTATCATCGCATAAATCGCAAATAAATTGTACTACATCCCAAACAGGAATAGGTAGTTTTTTTGTTAAAGAATTTTCTTCTATTTTAATATCAATATGAAGAATATATGTCTTATTCCATAAATATTTTTCTTCTTTTAAAAATGCTAAGAAAAAATTTTCATATTCTTTAACATTTTGTAATGTTTTTAATGTATCAAATAAATGAAAAGGAAAACAATAAGATTCATCAGGTTTCCCTTCTGAAAGTAATTTTTCTTTTGCTGTTTCTCCTACAGATATTACAACAGCAATTGGAGTACGAGGATTACAAACAAAAGGGATAACTGCATTAACTTCTGTAACACGAAGAATAGGAAAAGGTGAATTCATAAATTGTTTTATACTCAATGGTTCTAATTGCGATTTTAAAGAGGCAGATGAAATAAAGAAATAATGACGGTAAGTACCTCTATATCGTTTATTTAATAATGATCCACAAGAAGAACCAACGTAACCAAAAGAAGAAAATCTTGAATCTCCTCTAAAAGTTTCAAAAAAATCATCCCATGCAGACCTAAGTTGAGGAACTACTTCAGCTCTATATTCTCTTGGTATATCAATTCGAATAAGAAAACCAGAAGCGTTATTAATATCATTTATAGTAGAAACAACTCCAGAAAGAGAAAGAATACTTCGTGAGAGAAGAATACCAGTAAAAATATTAGTTCCGTTAACTGGATGTGAAACATTTTCTACAGAATCAAAAAAAGCTGTGATAAACATTTGAAGAGGTTCTTCACCTGGTCCTCCTTGAGGACAAGCACATAACCATCTTCTTGCTAGAAGTGTCATGATACCATTTGAACCTGATGAAGATTCTGAAACATCACATATTCTCTCTCTTGGTAACACTAGGTGGTACCTATATATCGAATTTGTATTGATAACTGGACGCTCGCCAATAGACTGGGGAACAAACGCCTTTGCATTTACGTTGAGCATAACTCTCCACTTGCTTTCACTTTTTTTTTGTTTTTCTTTTTAATGACCCCTCTGTTTTTTTTTTTTTTTTTCTCCTTCTTCTTCTTCTTCGTTATTCAAATACGGTATTTGTTGTAGTAATTTTTTTTTTTCTTTCGGTTTTCTCCCCTTTGTTTTTCTTTTCTTATTGTATGTTTCCCTTTATTTATCGCTTTACTCTGTGATCAAGGAAGTAATTGTTTTGGGGAATATTATTTACAAAAAGAAAAAAAATTGTAGAAAGCAGTAAAAAGGAAAAAAAAAATCAATGGTTATTACTGAAGGAAACATAGGAAACTACATATGTATATATCTACCACAAAGAAAACAATAATAATAATAATAATAA